AAGAGCTAAGAAATTATGAGGACACTGATATCAGTAAAAGCTTAGCCCGTATATATACGGGCCCCGTAACGAAAGGGACCCGTAACACAATGGACAGATTATCTGTTAAATTTGACTAAAAATGAAATATTATTAGGATATCCTCGACCACAAATGAAACGTCAAAAATGGACAAATTTATATGTTTTATGGTCATTTCCGATGACATATCGAAATATGACTATTAAAAATCGAACAATTAATCTTAAAATAATATTTAATGAAACAATTCGTGTACCATTTCCTGTTGAATCGTATCTATCTGGTATTCATCGTCGAGTATTACCTGCACACTATCTTCGGTATCAACGGAGATTACAAATTTCACGTGATCGATTAGGAAAATTTAATCGTCTTCTTCTACATTTCGATTCGGTTGATTATGAAACATATGTATGGATTAATCGAATTTTTGTAGGTAAACATCGTGGAGGTTATCAACCATTTCATTTCGATATTACAGAATATTTACAGAAAGCTATTAGGGATTGATTTAATTATTATCAACAAGAATCAATCGTTCGAGTATGGGATCTAGCTGATAAAAGTTATCAATCACGTAGTAAACAAATATTAAATTCATCGACAAACAGTATCTATTATACGCTTATATCGGGTATATGGCAAACAGTATGGTTAGAATCCGTTCTACTCGTTTATATTTCAAAATTGTGGTTTCAATCGACTATTGATCATAAAAATATGTGTATACTTCACCATAGAATTGACATAAATAAAAATAGAAAATTAGAAAAATTTGTTACACATATTCCACCATCATTTACAATTTATTTATTTTATAATGAATTTGATGATAGTTCTTCATCATTAAATCAACTTCTTGATGTTGAACGAAAAAATCCGGAGAAAAAAGATTCAACGGTATTTCGTTCTTCTATAAAAATTCTAAAAACTACACAGTATGTTATTAAATTACCATTAAAACTTGGTCAGAATATAATAATTAAAAAATTAAATATTGTACCAAACGTAGACAAAAAATTGTATGAGATAAAAATATCATCAAACTATGGTCATCGGAATCTCCAAATTTGTATGATATTACTATTGATCTCTATGAGCAAGACACTCTGACAGCTGCGACTAAAATGTTTAAAAATATTACTAAACTTCGATGGTTTTATTTGAATAAATTGTTTCTAGTACAAATAATTATCCAAATTAAAAAAATTAGGTAAAGTAGATAGGTATATTGGTTTTCGATCCATTCATTTATGTGGTAATTCTATAAAAGAGATATGTTTAAATAATGAAAAATATTTTATGTTGAGTGTACTCGATTAAGCTTATTGGCCAGATGGTCTCTACCTTTATGCAATTTTCTCAAGAAAACGATTCTCTTATATTCACACCAGAACCTGTAGTTGGTCGTCAGACAGGAAGTTAGAGAAGTTTAAAATCAAAACTTCAATTTGAATATGAATTAAAATCAATGATTGATACACTCTATAATTATCCATCAATTGTTATGTGGGTAATGTTCAATGAAGAATGGAGTCAATATGATATATTGAGGTTAGGTCAATGGCTTAAATATTACTCGGGTGAATATCGTTTAATAAATGCTGTTAGGGGTTGGCATGATCGATCTGTAGGTGATTTTCGAGATATTCATGATTATACAGCACAAATAGAACTACCGTCGATAAACACATATGACAGAACTAATCGTGCATTGGTTCTAGGCGAATGTGGTGGTTATGGTTTACTTGTTTGTCGTAATCACACATGGAACTTTCATGACAGTGAAGGATGGAGTTATGCAAAGTTTAAAGGTAAATATTTAACGACATACGGATTTGAGCGATTAATGATGCAGATAAACAGTTTAAAACGTCATTCATATTTGTCATCAATGATATATACGCAATTGTCTGATGTTAAATATGAATTAAACGATATACTTACATATGACAGAAAAGTATCAAAATATGTTCAGAATCATATTAGAAATGCTTTAAAAGTTAATTTTACTAGTATTTATCATATGCATATAGTTTTTAGTAGATTATATAACTGTACATTATGGAATTATTCAAATGATGATATGAATAGTAAAACACAAATAAAGACATCTCCATTTAAAAGTTTTACAAATACCTGATTAACTAGAAAATTTAAACTCGATCCATCTTTGTTTACCACATATAAACATCATTATTATTATTTATATATGAGTTATTCTTTTTGTTATGTTACAATAAATGTAACATATATAAATAAAACAAATATTGTAAAATTACAATTGTATAATCGATATAAAATAGATTTGAATGAGTCATAAAATAATTATGATTTTATACCGTTAAACGATACTATTCAAAATGTATTTAAATCGAATCTCAATCGTACGTATACCATTGATGTACATGCTTCATATTATCGGAAATATTGGTTCAGTTAGTTCAATTGATTATATTGAGGAAGATTCCTATATAAATATGACTTATTTAGATGTTGAGCTCGCTTTTATGACTTGAGAATACCTGTTTTTTGTTGTTATTTTATTGTTATGATCAGAGTGGTTTTTGAAAAATTTTTTTGTACTGGTACAAACGACGAGTGTTAGATTTAGAAGTCTTTCTCGAGGGAATTTCGGCACTCCGGTCGATTGCTTATGGACATTTTGATCTTACTTTGATGTTTCTTGGAGAAGAGTGTTTTTTTTCTACTTATCTAATGGTGCTACTCTGTCTATATTTGTTTTATCTATTGCACAATTATTCAGTTAAAAATGAGTATATCTCTTCACAAAGACAGGCGGATAAAGAAAAAGTCCAGAAGTTGTACGGATTTATAATATTTATGAACCTAAACAGTCAAATCTCATCTTTTATTTTTATACTGTTCATTTTTAAAAGACATCCAAATGAAGACTCTCAACCCAAACAAAAAAAAAACAGCAACATGAAAGCCTCAGTTTCTTGGACTTTATTAATATGTCAAAAAGAAAAACTTAACAAACTAATATCGAGCAATCAAATGCGAGAATATATCCACTAATTTGAGCAGCTGATAATTTATAAATGTTCTAATATTTTTGTTTCTGCCATGTGTGTGTACAAAAATTCTGAGATAGTATACGAGAAAATATATTTAAGTTTAAAAATAAATCATCATGCAAGAACGTTCTCATAGTTTATTGTTGTATTATGATACTTATTCGCTGCACGCGCTTGCGCTCTGTTTGACTTAATGTTCATTACCACATTTATTCATAATTATTATTTATTATCATTTGTCTTTCTGTCTATATTTTAGGATATCGAGATACAGATGATTTAATAGCATTAAGTATAGCAGCGGGAAAAAAACATAAGTCAATTACAGAAAGATTAGCAAGTATGTAGTATAATATTTTGTAAATATCTATTCTTAGCTATTACTTTATAAAATACCGTATATTTCGACAGGAATTCGTCGATGAAACCAAACTTAAAATGGCTAGATAATCTCTAGATTAATAAAAAAGAGAGATTAAGACCAGAACAGGAATAATGCAATAGCACGAGATTTCTTGTTATTAGTTTGTTAGTAGTGGTATTTAGTCTCGATTTTTATTTAAGAATGTGCTTTGTTAACTGTTTATTGATTAATTTCTAAAATAATCAAATTAAATTGTTCTCTTATTTCTGTTTAGATTGTGAAGAAGTTGATATTAATAAACCTTCATCATCTGGTATTACTCCTCTATTAATGGTTGCTGAAGTGGGTTGGCCAGATATATTACAAATATTATTAAAACGTGTTGCTATTGTTGATGCAGCTCCATCTCGTCCAAAAGCAAAAGTAAACAAAATAGCTGGTAGCACACCGTTGATAGGTGCAATAGAATATGATCATCCAGATTGTGTCAAAATTCTTTTACAAAATAAAGCTAATGCAAATCATCAAAATCAAAGTGGAATTAGTGCATTGATGTTAGCAGCTGATTAAAGCTACTTTGAATGTGTCAAACTATTAGTAGAATTTGGAGCTAATCTTGAATTAGCACCAAGTAGTATGTTTTTCATTATTATTAATCACTCTTTAGACAACAAAAGTTTTTCTGATAAAATTTTCATAACGAGTTGCACGTTCTTTTTTTAAGGACAAATTTCGTTGAACATGAATCCATGCGGTCAAACGCCTTTGTTCTGTGCGGCTAAAGAAGGTCGACAAGAGATTGTGAAATATTTAATAGATCAAAGTTAGTTCTACGTTTTCTTGAGTACAATGAATACAATTTAATGTCTTTATTGTTTTGCAGAAGCTAATCGCGCGTTCCAAATCATTATGGTGTTAGTGCTCTATGGATATCTGCTCAAAAAGGAATGTTAGATGTTGTTGAATTGTTCTTGAATCTTGAAGCAAACACAGAAATAAATACCATTCGGAAATTTAGCCAATGATTTAAATATTACAGGTTGGACACCCTTATACGCAGCAATGAAAGCAAGAAAATTTGATGTATGTAAAATTTTAAATCTGTTTATTAGTACCATTATCGACGTGTTCAATTATTTTATTTTTTGTTTGCATTTTTATATTTATGTGTCCCTGTTTGTTCTAGGTTGTTCAATTATTATTGAGTAGTGGTGCCAATCCAAATGCCGTTACTAAATTAGGTTCCACACCATTTTTGTTAGCATCAGAAATATGTGATTTAGAAATTATTGCAGCATGTGCAGAAGCCGGAGTCGATTTAGATTTTGCACCATCAGGAAGAGATGCCGATAATTTAAATATAACTGGACAAACAGCTCTATTTATGGCTACACTCAAAGGACGATCTGATGTTGTTATGACCAATTACTTTTAAAGTACAAAGAAAATTAATTCTATTTTCATCAATTAAGTATAATGAATAAATAGAAGGATAAACTAACAAAATTAAAACAACAATAGATAAAATGGCCCAAATACTCTCAGTTAAATGGTTAGCAACAATATTAGAAGAATATTCTTTTGTAAAGAGAGAATAAACTAATAAATAACCAACTACTATTAAAATTATAACAACAATTATTATTAAATAATCATGAAAATAAATACTTTGCTCTAACGTCATATTTAAAGCATCCTGAAAATTTAAGTTACCTCAAAATATCATCCATATAAACTTTCTAGTTTATACACTATGTTACGACTTACTTTATAATAAAGCTGACGGGCGATATGTACTTTTAAAAAATAATTCAAATAATTATATTTTACTAATAAACTCATCATTCTTTTAAGTCAATAATACACATATTGCAACTCATACACCCTAAAAAATAATTTATGTGTATCTGAATTTAAATAATTTAACTTTAAACCATCAAACATACAAAATTAAACATTTATAGTGCTAAATTTAGTGGAAAATCTAATTAAGATACAAGTTTCTTTATTTAATTTAAACCGCCAATTATATAAATTTATACACACTCCTATCAATAAAATTAACAGGATCTCTAATCCTGCTCATCTAAGTTCTCATAATAAAATTAAACTATATTTCACCTTAAATTTATTAATTAATATAAAAATGTAAACTAACAATATTATTCGTATAACCGCGGATGCTGGCACGCTATTAACCAATATAAAATAAAACTATTTATATTTTCTTTTATAATTTCATAAAATATTTATATAATATAAATTTAATATTAGGAGTATGAATCCTACAGCTTATTAGTTTAGATTTATAGATCAGTCTTAAATTTTGAAAATTTACAGTAATATCTTACTCTAAACTACCTTATTGACGAAAACAATATATGCTAAACACTAGAAAAAATATAAAATTAAACTTGATTTCTTCAAAAACACACTTAAAAAGCTTACATTATAAATAAAAAGCAAACAATAAAACAAAACCCATCAATTTAATATATATAAAGACTTAAATATATTAAAAAAAGTCACATAAGTAAAAGAAACAGAATAAAATATTATATAAATAAAACTCTCAAAATTATAACAATTACTATTAACAATAAATATCTGATTACTCATTAATCGAATACAAAAACAATAACTTTAAAGGATAATATACCCTCAAACTTAAAACCACTAACAAAAAAAAAGATTCAAATATAGAAATATTACTTTTTAAAATATTTTCAATAATAAAGTCTTTAGAAAAAAAAACAATCAA